CTGTCCAATTGTTGGGAATGCCTTAACTGACTCGTCGAGTCGTCTCGCTGACTCGCCGAGTTCATGCAGAAACCCTCAAGTTTAATCTTCATTGGACTCGCCGAGTTGGCCATGCAACTCATCGAGTCCCTTCAGTCCTTTCTCCATTCAGATGTTTATAAGCCACCCCAAAGCTCCATATTGCAGATCTGAGTTCCCAGGGCATACTTCCTACGTAAAGTTGCAAACTTTACGTACATGCAAGGTGCTAAGGGCCAAAATCAAGCGAAAGAAGAGGTTCTAAGTGAGGAAAATGCATTATCTTGCTAAAGGATGAAACTTTATAACTATAAGAACCAAGATGAGCCTAAGTCTGAAGTTGTAACTTCAGATCATGCCCAATACCTAAAATGAATCACCAACATGCTACAATAGACCTAATCTCAAGCATGGAGAGATCTAGCTAGAAGTAAGTCAAGCTAACGACTTGTTACCTTCAAGTGATGCTAAAATCGAGTAGAATTTAGATCCATAATTTTTCCTTGCTCCAAGCTCCTTGGTCTTCAAGCTCTTCTTACCATTATCCACATTCCAAGCTCAATAACACACAAATATGGAGAGTAAATATGATTTAGGGTTTCTGAGCTCAAAGGGGACTGTAAGGGAGGCTAATGACCCTTTAAATAGGGTGCAAAACCCCGTAAATTAAGGTTTCATCCTCCAGCTCCAACTCGTCGAGTTGTGTCCTCCAACTCGTCGAGTAGACCTTTCAAACTGAATATAAGACTGTAAAGTTTATACCTGAGAGTCGGGGTGTTACATAAACGAATAAACCAAGTTATACAACATTGATTTGTGATAAAGAAGACCATGGAAATAAATAACTTGGTGGCTTCTTACGAAAGCAAAATATGGACATTGATAGAGATGGGTTTATTTATATTTTCTAATAATTAGAAATTGCCCTTCCTTGCTTTGCGGGGGACGCAAACAACGTTTTTCTTACTATGTTGTAGTCACACAAAGAGAAAGTAGTACTATTAATCATTTTATTGTTTTGTGTGCACTTTTTGGGGGACCAAACTTGCCGACGTAGGAAAGTATAGGGACCAAGCCTATAAATTTTTTATTAGGTTGGGATTATTTTTGTATTTTTTTTAAACATATGGTCTATTTTTATAAAAAGAAATACAAAATGAAATTTTCTATAAATTATGGGGAAAATTTTATTTTTATTTTTTTAAACACATTGACCGTTTTTGTAAAAAAAAAATACACAATAACATTTTCTATAAATTATAGAGATAATTTTTGTAATTTATTTTCTATACTGGAGCGAAACCTAACAATATATAAAATTTTTAGACATATGGATTGTTTTGGTAAACAAAAAACTTTACATGACTGTTTCTATAAATTAAAAAATTACAGGGATTAAATCTGCGAAAATCTAAAGTCTTTATGACAAAACTCCAAATATGAAAAAATTACTATTTATAAAAACTTCGTATTTAATAATAAATAGAAATTTCCCACACTCCGCCTCTGCAGGGACGTATCTGAGCACA